TCCGCTCTCCTCCTCCTCGTCCTCCTCCGCCTCCTTCTCCTCCTCCTCCTCCTCCTCCTCCTCCTCCTCCTCCTCCGTAGCCATTTTGGCTCAAGCGTGCCTCAAGCCCCCTGGTGCGCATTTTCCCGTGCGTCATGTGGCGTCTGGACCTGGCTGTTTGAGGAGATGGTTCTACGGGAGGACATGGGTGATGCACGTCCATCGCGCTCTGCGGCAGAGCGGAAAGCGAGGCGCGACTGGGCCAAGGCTTCTGCAGACCGCGCCATCAGGCGGCTTGCCGACGAGTTGACCACCGTGCGCGGCAAGCACGAAGAGCTGCTCAGTTGCCTCGGCCTCCTTTTCGGCAACCAGCAGGTCTGGGATCGGATCCAGGCCGTTCTGCCTGCGCTGGGAGCGCTTATTGCGGGCAAGCTGCCCAGCGGAGTTGACCGACTCCGCCGAAACGTAGCTCTTCACGCTCACCGTTGTGACGGTTCCTTCGCGACGGCGTCCAAGGGGCAGCTCCAGCATGCCCAGAAGGGCCCTCGGCTGGAATCGAGGCAGGACATCGGCGAGATGGACGTGGAGACGCAGCTGCGCGAGATGCAGGGCCACGGTGAGAAGTTCGGGCTGGACCGCGAGGAGGGCGAGCGGTTCGTCCCGTTCACGGCGCTCAGCAGCGCCGCCAGGCCCTACGCGCCCGAGGGTTCCAACCAGATGCTGGGCAGCAGCATCGCCGAGTTCGGCGCCGAGGTGGACGAGACTTTCTTCGAGGGGGCCTCCGACGCCCACGGCAACCGTTCGGTCTTCGTGGAGAAGGGCGGCGAGCAGTTCCTGCAAGGCGGCGGCTTCGTCCAGGAGGGCGCGGTCGATAACCAGGAGGCAGGCGACTCCGTCGACGGCGAGACGGATGACCGGGACGGCCTGGGGGACGACAGCGCCGTTCACGCGGCCGAGCTGCGACGCCTCCTCCTGGACACCCGTGCGCGGGTTGACACGGCGGCATTCGCGGTCGTCCTCGCAGGCGCCGATGCAGGCCAGGCCCAGCTCGAGCTCGAGGCGGCGGCCGACCGCATGGTGGAGCTCGAGGGCCGCCTGGCCAACGCGGAACCCGTGGAGCCGAGGGCGGACGCATGCCGCGGCCGCCCGCCTCCAGGCCCACGGGCGACAGGCTTCGTGTACGGAGAGTTCGAGGAGAACTCCTACGCCGTGCCCTTCGTCTTGGGGGGTCCCGACGGAGACGTGCGCTCAGCCGCGACGGCCGAGCCAGCGACGGCAGCGGGCCAGCGCAGCGCGGACCTGACCGCGCTCTTCGCCGCGTTCGGGGCGGAGCTACGCGGATCCGGAGGCGAGGCGCCGGGCGGCCGTTGAAGGAGGCCAAGGGCGGCGTGGCGCACGCCGTGTACGAGGGCAGAGCGTGGGGTTAAACCCAGGCTCGGCCTCCGCTCAGGACGGTGAGGCCTCGGCAGGGGTCCCTGGGGCTCCTGGAGGTCTCGCGGGGCTCGTGGGGCCTCCGTGGGAATTCGGATGCATGGTCCTCCCGGGTCGAGTCTTGCCTCCTCCTCCTCCTCCTCCTCCTCCTCCTCCTCCTCCTCCTCCTCCTTCTCCTCTCGCCTCCCCTCCTCTCCTCCTCCTACTCCTCCTCCTCCTCCTCCTCTCCTCCTCCTCTCCTCCTCCTCCTCTCTCCTCCTCCTCCTCCTCGGGGGGGGCACCCTGGGCCAGGGGGGGGGCACCCTCCCAGCAGCCCCCCGAGAAGAGGCTCGCCGAGAGCTCGCGGGCGCGGGCGGCCGCCAGGGGGCGCCCGCCCGCCGTGGCCGCCAGGCCCAGGAACTCCGCCGTCGGGGGCCCGTCCGCCCGCCGCCGGGGACTCGCCTCGTCGGGGGCGGCCAGTAGGGGGCGTCCAGTAGGAGGGAGGAGGGGAGGAAGGAGGAGGAGGAGGAGGAGGAGGAGGAGGAGGAGGAGGAGGAGGAGGAGGAGGAGGAGGAGGAGGAGGAGTAGGAGGAGGCAGGAGGAGGAGGAGTGGGAGGGAGAGGAGAGAGGAGGAGGAGGAGGAGGTCAGGAGGAGGAGGAGGAGGAGGAAGAGGAGGATTGGAGGAGGATGGAGGAGGGGGAGAGGAGGAGGAGGAGGAGGAGGAGGAGGAGGAGGAGGAGGAGGAGGAGGGGTGAGGAGAGGAGGAGGCGGAGGGAGGAGGAGGAGTAGGAGGAGGAGGAGCGAGGAGGAGGAGGAGGAGGAGGAGGAGGGGGGGAGGAGGAGGAGGAGGAGGAGGAGGAGGAGGCGGAGGAGGAGGGGTAGGAGGAGGGAGGAGGAGGAGGAGGAGGAGGAGGAGGAGGGGCGCAAATCATGGCCGGCGGCACGTGCGCGGCCCAGGGGGGGGTGGGGCAGGGAGGCAAGGAAAGAAGAAGAGGCGCCATGAAATCTGGGGACATGTCATGGCCCACGCCATGATATCCTCCTTCCCACCCCCGAGTCATCACCCCCCTCTTGGCCGCCCCCGACCTCTTGCCGGGGGAAGGGGAGCGGCGACCACAGCCCGGGAAGGCGCCCACAAGCAGAGATGCAGGGGCACATGTCCAAGGGTTCCCCATGCTTCCTGGAGGCTCGTCTTCCCCGCAATTTCCCCCATCGATGTTCCATGTTGTCCAAAGGATCGACGATTCTTTGCGTCTGTGTGTTATCCCCTCCTGAGCCGTGCCGGCGCGCAGACAGGGGGTAGTGCGTGGGGAGAAGGCTTCTTAGAAGAAGGCTGCTTAGAGAAGGCTTGCGCCCTCTTAAA